GCTGAGAATATCATGGGACACACAGAGAGGATCACAAGTACTAAGAGAAGATTCTAGACTAGATGATGAAGGGCAAACCACTCCTTTGGGCTTACTAGTTAAGGGGCATCTCTGGATTCCTAATTAGAATAAATTAGAGACTAATAATTAATGTGTGACTTTCAGCAAGTTGCTGAATCAGTTTTCTTACTTGAAAAAGTGGTTCTAATACCTATCTTATAGGGCTGATATAAATATTAAATGAGATATCAAACACAGACACACTTACAAAGTGCCCAGCATATAGCAAATACATAAGACATGCTAGCTATTATTATTTAAATTTTGTTTGGGAAACTATATAGACTGTCATTCTCAACTAATCCTTTTATTATCTTCATGAGTACTCCAGTTGAAGAACCCTCCAGGAAGAGTCCTGCACCGTATGTATTTGACCTATTATAAGCAAAATCAGTAAGCTGAATGGCTTAAAGTAGCAGTGTCCATAATCAATGAGAACACACACAGAGAGTCCTCATGTTAAAGGGACAGAGACCAAGAACTGTCACATGCCACAATCATTCCTTTTAAGTAATAACACAGGCACACAGCACTTGACAGAGTGAGCTGGAAGAAAACAGAGGCTACATTTGAAAGCAACCTAAGACTGGGCAATGTGAAAAATCAAAGAACTTTTGGGGAATAATTATAAGAGCATTGAAGCAAGAAGGAGAGGGGAGGAGGAAAGGAGGTACGTAGGGAGATATGAGGGCTGAGAATATCATGGGACACACAGAGAGGATCACAAGTACTAAGAGAAGATTCTAGACTAGATGATGAAGGGCAAACCACTCCTTTGGGCTTACTAGTTAAGGGGCATCTCTGGATTCCTAATTAGAATAAACTAGAGACTAATAATTAATGTGTGACTTTCAGCAAGTTGCTGAATCAGTTTTCTTACTTGAAAAAGTGGTTCTAATAGTTCCTATCTTATAGGGCTGATATAAATATTAAATGAGATATCAAACACAGACACACTCACAAAGTGCCAGCATATAGCAAATACATAAGACATGCTAGCTATTATTATTTAAATTTTGTTTGGGAAACTATATAGTCTGTCATTCTCAACTAATCCTTTTATTATCTTCATGAGTACTCCAGTTGAAGAACCCTCCAGGAAGAGTCCTGCACCATATGTATTTGACCTATTATAAGCAAAATCAGTAAGCTGAATGGCTTAAAGTAGCAGTGTCCAATAGACAGTTCTGTGATGATGGAAATATTCTCCATCTGCACTGTCCAGTACAATAGCCACTAGCCACAAGAAGCTATTGCGCCCTTGAAAGTGCTGCTAAGGAAGCACGTTTATTATTTACTTAATTTTAATTAATGGAAATTTAAATGGATACATGTCATATTGAACGTTGTTGCCTTAGGTCATATTACCCCCATACACACCAGGAGACATTGTGCAGGGGTCCACTGTGGCCTAGTTGGGCATGGAAATTTAAATGGATACATGTCATATTGAACGTTGTTGCCTTATGTCATATTACCCCCATACACACCAGGAGACATTGTGCAGGGGTCCACTGTGGCCTAGTTGGGCTCTGGATCAGATTACCTGGGCTTGAATCCTGACTCTACCCCTTAGAAGTGGAACTGGGTTGGGTAAGGAACTCAACCTCTTATGCCTCAGTTTCAACCTTACCAATATGAGGGTGATAATAGTATCTACTTTATTGGCTTATGAGGATTAAATGAAAGGATTCATTTAAAGCAATGGTTCTCAGAGTTTAGCACACATCAGAATCACCTGGAAGACCATTAAGACACAGATTGCTGGGTTCATCCTCCAAGTTTTTGATTCAATAGGTCTAAGGTAGAGCCAGAGAATTTGCATTTCTAATGGGTTCCCAGATGATGCTCACGTTGCTGGTCTGGGGACTACGCTTGGAAAAACACTTTTATAAGATATTTAGACAGTGTCTGATACATAGTGAGAAGTCACTAGTGTTAGTTATTTTTTTATGATAAGTATCTTTATGATTTGCATCAGGTTTCTGAAAAAAAAAAGCATGCCTTATTAGAAATCTCTAGCCCAGTTTCTGACATTATTTTGATAGGTGTTTATGAGGCACCTACAAGGGCCAAACCCCCACTGAGCTCTGAATGACCAGTTATCAAGGTGGGTTTGAAGCAGGGCTTGCCGGTAGGTGGAGCTATAGAGCACCAAGCTCCCCGACCACTATGACTACCATCTGAAATATTTTTCACCATTTCAACTCCCCATAAAACTAACAGAAAATAACAATTAAAATCACCTTTTATGGTAAACTTCAGTTAGATTTCTCTCTGATTCTTCATCTCTATTAAAACGATTGTGCTGTAAATGATAAGTGGAAAGGATGTGAAAATAGATCTAGGATCTAGCCTTGGCTCTTTTATCAACCACCTAAGATCATTGGACGTGATGGTTAATTTTATGTGTCAACTTGGGTTACCCAAACAGCTGATAAAACATTATTTTTGGATGTGTCTATTAGGGTGTTTCTGGAAGAGATTGGCCCTTGAGTCAGTAGACTAAAAAGATCTGCCCTCATCCACGTGAGCAGGCATCATCCGATTCAGTGAGGGCCTGCCCAAATAGAGCAAAAAGGTGGAGGAAGGGCAAATGAGCTACCGGTTCTCGGGTCTTCAGACTCCAGGACTTACACCAGTGGCGCTCCAAGTTCTCAGGCCTTTGGAGTTGGACTGAATTATATCACCGACTTTCCTGGGTCTTCACCTTGCAGGCAGCATATCAGCCTCCATAATTATGTGAGCTAATTCCCCTAATAAGTCCCCTCCTATACATCTCTCTATATATACTATTGGTCCTGTTTCTCTGGAGAAACTGACTGATATACTGGAAAAGTCTCTTAATCATTATGGGCTGATTTTGGACTTGAGCACTAGGGTCACTTTCAAAGAATAACAACAGAATGCATACAAGTCCAATCTCACCTGTGCATAGACTTTGCTCCTTGCAAGTTATCACAAGTTATCTAGTTTTTCTCTTATGAGATTCTTTCCATAGTGCCTTTAGTTCTTTGGAGGAAAAATGTTGCAAGGGGGTAAAAACTACACAGACAAAGAAACAATTGGTTATATAGATCCATCTTTAATTTTGTCATCTTCCAGTACTCATAACAGAGTTCAATTGAAAGGAGAAAAAACAAAAACAAAAAAAATCTTGGAAGAAATATGCCCCAAAGGCTCTAGGACTATAGGTATCCCATTCCAAGAAAAAAATCCAAAAGGCAGAACGTTTCTTTTCCCATGAGCAAGGGTAGCTCCAAGCATCCTTAAAAGGTTCTTTTAATTTGGATTCTGGTGTGCAGTGTTTTGTGGTTTTGTAAATCTACATCTTTTCTAACACAAGGACCACTCTATTTCCTTCTCTTAAGAAACACGAGTAAAAATTCTTTGCCCAACATATGATTTGTGTATGATAAATGGTGACCACAGTACTAATTGGCAAAAAAAAATACAAATAATTTCTGTTACAAAGTTAATCTTGCTAACAGGTCTTGGTGTGTAAGTCAGTATTATCATTCTCACCTTCAGGTGTGGGGAATAGAAGTGCAGAGAAGCTAGGTTTTAGTGTGAATTGTTATTACTCAGACTGAAGTAGAAACAATACAAGAAGCTTGTACTCATTGGAACATCTGATTTGTCTGGCCTCACCACTATTGTAGTCTGGCAAAATATACTTTGAAGTGTTTGCAAAAAGCAGAAGAGAGAACTTGGGACCTACCTTGGAGATTTTGAAGGGAAAATGTGACCAAGGTTGTCTGAATCCAGATTTAAAGCAGGCAGCTATTGGCTGAATTAGTGATATTAACAAAATCAGTAGTATAGTTCTTGTACTTCCAATTCTCACCTTCAAAGTCCAGAGTGCTAACCATTACACCATTGGGCCGACAGTTCAATTCTCACCTTCAAAATCGGAATGTTTGGAGTCTGGAAAATGCTGCCTGCTGAATCCAGATTTAAAGCAGGCAGCTATTAGCTGAATTAGTGATATTAACAAAATCAGTAGTATAGTTCTTGTACTTCCAATTCTCACCTTCAAAGTCCAGAGTGCTAACCATTACACCATGGGGCCGACAGTTCAATTCTCACCTTCAAAATCGGAATGTTTGGAGTCTGGAAAATGCTGCCTTCATCAGGGTTTTGTGCTGATGAAAAAGCACCTCTCTTAGGAATAAGGAGTAAAGGTTTTACTCTTGGATTTGCTTCTCACTTACTGAGTGATATCGTACAAGTTAATTGTATTCTCTGAGCTTCATTTTCCTCATGTGTAAAATGGCAATTCCTCTCCTAAATATTTCACAGAAGGTTGATGAGACTAAACTGAGATGAATGAAGGAAATACTTATCAAGAACATAATTCAGGGACTTGGGCTTTTGTACAATAAATAAATAAAGTCAAAATAATACAACCTTTTCAGAAGATGATGTCTCATCATTCTGAATTAAAAAACGAACAAATATTTGTTGGAACAGTCAGTGTAGTATCTTGAGAAACAAGTCAAGCAGCTTAAATACATTAAGGCAGGCACCATTTCAATGACAAATGAACTGTACCAATTAATTTATTTTTATGAGATTGGAATACAAATCAGATCAAACGGCATCCCCAAAATTGTCTAACACCGGTATGTATTGCTTTTTAAAAGGATGGAGATAAATAAACTGAATATCTGTTTTAGTAAGTCGTCTTGAGAGAGGCACAAATGATACCCCATTTTCCAAATTATTGCTCACCTCAATTACATTTGTGTAAATGAATTCAGTCCAAGGAATTGGGGATCAGACAGCTACACCTTCTTTAATTTTATTTTATTTTTATTTATTCTTTTTTTGGTCACAGTATTTTGTTGATGGGATTTGGAACATTGCTCCATTTGAGAGCTACAAAGCATTACTCATCAAATGAAGTCAATAGTCAGCTATACCAAACTAAATATCCCCAAACTATAATTTTTTTTGCTGTAAGGAAAGCTGCCTTTATCAAAATGCACAGAATGCAAGATCCATGTACAAAAACCTTTTTCTGATTAGTAAAAACTTCCTATAGAAACCCCACCAATTTCTTTACCTCCTGGCACACAGGGTATGCTAATTCTTTGGCTTTTGCTGACCCAACTTGCAAAACCTTCTCTAAATGTTCCTTATCCATCTGAAGTCTTTCAATTTCACTCTTAATTGGTGCAAATTTCTCAATCACAGCATCCGCCACCACCAGTTTGTAGCGAGCAGTGTCGACGCCCCTGCTGCCCCGGACCACTTCCTCCACCGACAGTCCAGTCACTGCGGCGTGGATTGCAACCATGTTGGACACGCCCCCTCGGCCGGCAGGGTCGTAGGTGACCTCAGAGGTGAAGTCCGTCACGGCCTTGCGGAATTTCTGCACTATCACCTCTGGGCTATCTGTTATTCGGACGGTGGCCAGTTTGTCAGGGTCTGATTTCGACATTTTGACAGAAGGATCACGGAGGGATTTCACCTTCTTCATTGATGCTAGGTGAAAACACCAACACATTCATTCCAAAAACAAAAACAAACAAAATCACAAGGAATGTCACCATCTAGATCTTAGAAATGCAAAAAATACTAAATGATTATTTTTATCTGGTTATACAAATAGCAAATATTGTGAAAAATTGAAGCAATTTATATAAACATGAAAATAAAGGTCATCTGAAATATGTGATAATACTGTTATATTTTGCTGATATTTTTCAGGCATCTTTTAAAGCATATATCCACATAAAAATGTATAATCTTACACAAATGAAATTATATCTTCATATTGTTTTTGCTGTGTGCACCTTTTTAAAAAATGTTGTTTATTTCTTTCCTCTTCCTCTCTCTTTTCTCTATGCTCTTCCCTACCAGTTAATCACCCCCTGCCCACAACCACTGCCCTTCCTGTCCCCAACCAGTGTTTTCTGTAGCAATCCTTCCATTTCTTTACCCAGGATTATAAAAAAGTATATACCAACACACACACACACACACACACACAGAAGTGACTTGTTTATTGCTCGGAAAGAATCAAGATGTTAAGCTGTGCTTCAAAAACCCGTGTTATTAATAATTGCCTATTTTAGAAGTGACTTGTTTATTGCTCAGAAAGAATCAAGATGTTAAGCTGTGCTTCAAAAACCCGTGTTATTAATAATTGCCTATTTTATGCTATTATAGAAGCATAAAAAATTGAGATAGAGAAAATGATAAGCCAAAACATTAAAAGCATTACTTATTGCTAAAAGAAAGTTTGACTTCAATGCATGGGGTGTCATGAATTCATTTGTGTAAACTCTTTGAACAATTTAGAATTTAGAACTGCCTTATGTTTCTAAATGAATACGAGGCACATGTTATACTACTTTACAATGCTGTCAGCTTAATAAAGATGGACAGTCCTCAGAGATTTTCAGCAATCTCTGCCCCTGCTACAAGTTTACATTGCTACCAAAATGCTGATAGAGATTTACAACTTCTTTCCTCTTGAAGATTTCAGACTAGCATAGCTTCGAAGGCCAAAGTTGATGTTTCAGTTTTAGTAGATGTATTATACACTCCATCTTCATTGTTCATTTAAGAAGACATAGTGTGAAGATTATCAATTTCCTCTTGTTTTATCTAGATTATGATTCAGCAGTTCTCACTCTTATGACTTTTTCTTCTTGCAAACATTCAGGAAGGCAAGGCACACTGGCTTTGGAATCAGAAAAGCTCAGTATTGGGCCCAGCTCTGCCACTAGCAAAGTTAGCCTTGCCAAGCTTTAATGTCCTCATCTATAACATAGGGAAAGATATCTGCCTTACCAAGTAGGATCTGTTATTATATATGAGGGTACTTCAAAAAGTTCATGGGAAGATTTGTATTACCTTTCAATTCTATTTTCCACAAACTTTTTGAAGTACCTTCATATATTTATATACTTTGCAAATCATATAATACTTTATAAGTGAAAAATTATTTTTAGTTTTCAGTCTCTCCTATACTTTTCAAACATTTTTAGTTATCTTTTTCAATAATCCAACATGGTCTACTAGTCCTACATTATAGAAATTAATGAAGATTCTAGTTACAAATCCCAAAGCCTGTCCATAAGAAAGCCAAATTTAGTCCTAAGAAAGTTCTAAGCCTCCATCTATTATCCAATCACCTCTTCAAAATACGCCCTGATTTAACAATCAGATGTTTGTTACTTACTTAGAATGGACTCAGGCACTGGAAAGAACTCCCCATACTTCTTGTTGAAACTTTGTGCTAGATCCCGAACTAGTTCCATGTGCTGGACTTGATCCTCCCCAACAGGAACGTGTGTGGACCTTTAATAAAAGACAGAAAAACTCAACAAGCCTTCTTCTTAGCTATTGCAAGCAGCTGCATTTCCTGTGCCTATTTCACTGTTGGTGTTCAACAAATGTTCACCAACAGAGTGAATGTTGAGACCCAGGTCTTTATCTATGTATCAGACAAATGCCAAAGAGATATTTGTCTCCTCTAGTTCTGTTTCTCCCATAGCAGAGGAATACAGCCATCAACACCAGCATGACAGGGTCTTGCTGTGAGGAAGGAATGAGGTCTTAAATAGCATATGCTCTGAGCATAATCATATTTAAAAACCTCTCCTGGTTCCCTCACCCAGTCAGTACATATTATCTCAGCCTTGATCAGATGCTTTTTACCTCAGAGCTGTGGCTCACACTTGAAAGACACCCCACCCCATCTTTTTAAATCAAAAGATGGCAGAAAGCTCTTCAGGCAAGAGTTTTTCATCCTAATCACACAGGGAGTAATTCAAGATCTTTTGGGAATATGCTCCTTCATTTGCAAGTAAATTATAACCATGGGACAATAATTATGCTACAGAGAACTTAAATGAACAAAATCTGTGAGTACAATGTAGACAGATCTCAAAAACAATGTGGAATGAGAAAAACAAGTTGCAGAAAACATGACCTTTATGAAAGTACATATGAAAATACTACATATTGTTTACAGATGTATATATCTATAGTAATAAGTATAAAAACACACTGGAAGCTCCTCCCCAAATTCTTAGCTGCTTCTCAAGGAGGGAAGGAAATGGGTCTGAGGAAAGGAACAAAGGAGATCTAAATTTTATCTGTACTTTTTAATTTTATTACAAAATGAAGATGTGAAATAAAAAAAAAGTCAGAATGCAGGGATTCTATTTATAATGATTTCAATCCCATATGTAAGGTTTGTATTGTTAGAAATTTTATTACAAAATGAAGATGTGAAATAAAAAAAAATCAGAATGCAGGGATTCTATTTATAATGATTTCAATCCCATATGTAAGGTTTGTATTGTTAGATCATGATGACATATATCAAGTAAGGGAGATTTTACCATTATAGAGAAGTCTCCCCCAACACCCCAACCAGCCCAGTGATGACCACAAAGCCACCGCAGGAAGCAACCCAGACTCTCCTGAGCCAGGACAGTGGAGGGCCTCAGACCTCTGCCATGCCCCCCCAACACCTGCAACCAGCCCAGAGATTACCACTGGGCCGCTGCAGGAAGTGTCCCAGGCTCTCCTGAGCCAGAGCAGTGGGGGACCAAGGGCCTCAGCAATGCCCCTCTGACACCCGCAGCCAGCCCAGCGATGACCACCAAGCTGCCACAGGAAGTGCCCCAGGCTCTCCCAAGGTTGGGCCGTGGGGAGTCAAGGGCCTTGGCCACACCTCCTCAATGCCTACAATGACCAGCCCAGCCACGACCACTGAGCAGCTGTAAGAAGCACCCCAGGCTCCTTAGCTGGGGCAGTGTGGAGCAAGGCTTCAGCCACACCTCCCTGACATCTGCACCCAGACCAGCAATGACCAAGCCACCACTGGAAGCCCCCTGGTCTCTGCTGCAGGAATGAGGGGGGTGCCACAGGTCTCAACCCCACTCCTCCTCCTTCCCCCTCCCTTTTTCTTTCCCCTTTCCCTTCTCCCGCTCCCCCGCAACTGCTCTGCAGCATCACAAAATGTAAAAAAATAATATCAATAAATAAATAAACTTTATATAAAAAAGAGAGAAGTCTTGATGGGGAAAACTTTATACTGAAGTGCTATTGTGGGAGACAGGTGATTTTTAAGAATTTAGCGCTTGGATGAGGAGTTCATATCTGATAATACAGGTAACAAAGTA